AATGGCTTACTCAAATCAACCTTATACGATTCTAATCTCTAACTGCCTTCACCTCTGTTCTAGTATATAGTCTACTCTGTTTATTCTGCAAAAAAATGTACTTAAGGGCAGAAGATACCGTAGATCATTTTTCATATGATATGCATAGCAAATTAATACTTTATATAGATATAAAAATATGCTACTGATAAAAATTTTTAAAAATTCAATTAATTTTTATTAAAATTTTATAATTTTATAGATTAAAACATGCTCTTTCTAATGATATAAATTTTAATAACTACATTATTTTAAGAAACCATACTTGTATATATCATGAAGTTGCTGCGGTGACCTCAAATTTGCTGGGGTTACACAAAATCGTTAATTTTGATTGGCTATATCATATGATCATCATATGATTTTTATAAACAAAAAATTAATACTCAATCTTTAAATGCATATTTCTCAGCGAATATCTAACCAATTTTAATAATTTTACTACCATTAGAATCAAAAGAACCTATTCTACAAATTTTATTATAAATGTTAAAACAACTTACTTAATAAAATTTTCTTTAATTATAAAAAAAAAAATTTTTTGCCATCATAATTATATGAAAATTGATTTATGTATCCTCTACCTTTAAAAGCATTATATATTTATAAATAATAAATTAATAGAGAGTAAATATGAAGTTTTTTTGATATAATATTTTGTATTATTTAATATTATTCTTAAAATATTATATTTAATAGTGTGTAAGTATAATGCTTATTTTAAAGATAATTATTAAAGGTTTATCTAATTGTTTCAATATTTGATTTTATATATTGTATATTAACAAATAGTGAGTAAGTATATAGCTTATTAGTTTTGCTAAAAAAACATATAAATACTTTTTTATAAACAATTTTTATAAATTAATAGGAAGTATGTGCAGTATATTTATTTTGCTTAATTTTTTAATTAATATACAATAATAATTATTAAATACTATTCTATTATTCTATAATATATATTGTTTATATTAAATTAATAGAAAGTAAGTATAGTTATTTTTAAAGTTAATATTTTATAAAAATTTATTTTAATTATATGTTTAATAATTAATTAAATATTTGAATTATCAGAAGTTAGTATGAAATTTACTATTTCTAAATTCACTTTTAGATTAATGTTTTACAAGAAATTTATTATTAAATATTATTTTTATAATTCCTAGATTGTAATTATAATATTATTTGTTTTTTGAAGTTAATATATATATGTAATATTATTTTAATTATTAATCAATATGCAGTATGTAAGTATGAAGTATTATAAATAATTTTAAAACCAAATATACAGCAAAATTTATTGTTAAACATAAATTGCATAATATATATTAAATTAGACAGTATGTATAAATCATATTTATGGCAAATATTTTATAAATTTATTTTCTAACAGTAAACCTTTTATATATTAAACTAAAAAGACCGTAAGTATAAAAGTGTTTAAATGGTTTTAAAATTGCTAATATTTATTATTAAATATTATTTGTAAATTTTATATAGACGGTAAATCTATAGTTTTTAAAAAATATTAATATATTATAAAGTTTTAAAAATAACATTTTTTAAATAGAATTTTACTAATTATAACCAGCGGTGATCATCACCGGTGCATAATTAGCAAATAAAATTGCAGTATCAGGTGTAACGTGCAAATCAATTTGTGTAACCAAAATAAAGATTTTTTTTAAAAAATGCTGATATCTCAAGAATTCGCCTATGAAACTACCTTTGACGTTCTAACAAAAAAAATTCCTCGCTAAATTTCACATATATCTAAAACCTTGCTAAAATCCCAGGCCTTACCCTAACCCTAAAGTAAATGAAATGAAATATTTTTTTAGTTTATCGTTATTTGTTAATTATACACCGGTGATGATCACCGCCGGTTAATTTAAGTAAAAACCTTTTAAATATTATTCGAATTAGACGGTAATTATAAAATCAGTTTTATTTTATATTTGCATAAATTTATTATTAATAATATTTATAAATATCATAGACAGTAAGTATTAAATTTTATTTTAATACTAATATTTGCAAGAATTTATTAAATATTTATTTACGTTAATGAATTAATAGTTTGTAAGATTTATTTTTTATGAAATTATGATTCTGTGTGCCTATTTTATTAATGCATTATTTATCAATTGTATATTTGTTAAATCAATAGTGCGTAAGTTCATTGATTAATTTTATAATTAAGTTTAAGTTGTAAATAGTTGAAGGGTTTATATTTTATAGCAAAGATAAGTAGAGAATTACTATTGCTTTCATATAATGCTAAAATTCCGACATTTTTTGACAATAAGTACAATATAGTAATTATAAAGAAAAAAAAATACCAATATCTCAATATGCCAAACGGGTTTTATTATTCTACTACTGTCAGAACTTACTCTATAATATCTGATAGGAACTTAAAAGAAAATTAACAGAATTTTATTGTAAGCTAGCTATATTTCAGCATTATAAAAAAAGCTATGGCAATTTTCGTTAAACTTACTCTTTTTTATACTCTCAACTAAAGTTTACTTCTTAATAAATAATTTGAAAATTATGCATAGTATTATTTTATTTTAATAATCTGCTTTATATTTATAATTAATAGGATGTAATTATGAAGCTTTAAGTTATTATTTTATGACAATTTATTATTAATTTTATTGTTTTTAAAACAATTTATTAAACTTAGACAGTAAGAATAATATTTATTTTTATAATTAATTAATTTACTATTAAGTAATATTAATAATTAATATTAATACATTAAATAGGCGGTAAGTATTGAAATTAATTTTAAATTTAATAATTTAGAAAAATTGTATTTAATAAAATTTAATAATTAATTTATATAGTACGTAAGTATAAAGCTTATTTGTTTTAAATTACTTAATTCAAACCTTTGTTATAAAAAATTAACCTTATTATCTAATTCGATATGTTTTAATCAATACTAGACGGTAAATTTAGATTTTTAATTTTATTTTTGAAATCATTGTGACGTAAAAATTTGCTAAATTATTATTAAAAACAATATTAACATATAAAGTTTGTATGTATATAGTTTATAATCCTATTTTAAAACCAAGCTATACGAGAACTTATTACTAAATATTATTCTGCAACAAATTTCTTATGCGGTGACTAGAAATTTAATTAATAATTGTTGTGACTGAAGCTGGTAATGGCCGAAGCTGAAAATTCGGGACATCGGTTTAAAAATATAAACCTTACAAAATCCACTTATACATTTTTATTATCAAAACTTACCCTAAATTCTAATATAAAAAAAGATAAAAAAATGCACCTAAAATTTTTTAAAATTTTAAAATATTTAAAATTTTCAGCTTCGACCGTTTACAGCTTCAGCCGCGTCAATAGTTTTATAAGAATCTATTAAATTTTATCAACATATATTTTTATTATGGATAATAGCTTGTAAGTATAATAATTATTCAGCTTTATTTTAAAATAATATTTATACATTTATAAAATTTAATATGCCATAAATTAATAGAGAGTAGGTATTTTTAATTTTAAGTTAATCTATCATAATTTTATTTGATAATAAATGTTCTTTATGTTAATTAATAGTTTGTAAGTATAAAGATTATTTTAATTGAATTGGAAGATTTGTATTTGTAAAAAAAATTGTAATCGTAATTAATTTGTATATATTTATTATTATAGAGAGTAAGTATAAGTTATAATTATTTTTAATATTTTATTTAAACATTATTTTTTATAATTAACTTTTATAAATAAATTAGACAGTAAGTATAGGATTGATTAACGAATTGCTAGTAGCAATTATTGCCACAATGTAATCGAAGGATAAAATTAAAATAATGAACTTTATCATTAGCGTTAAAATTAAAGTTATGAATAGTGTTGGGTGAGCAATAGTATATGCTAAAGGTTTAAAGAAACAAAAGTTGGCTATTAGCTATTCAATCTTTAAATTTGACTTGTTAATATATTGTGGTAATAATTACTAGTCGAAAATTGCAATGACATTGATTAAAATAAGATTTCTTTAAGCCCTAAAACGAAAAATGTCTTAGGATACATTACATATTAAAATCGAGTCTAATGAATGGCTTAACGTGCATCAATTGATGTTTCTAAGTGTGAACCAGAAATCTAAATATATAATAATACTTGTCTTATATTTAGAATTTCTGATTTCACTTGTTGGCATTTATTAAAATGTATTTTTGATTAGACTAGCCATGATGATCTAATAATCACCTTATACCACTTATAATTTATCGCGCTTTTCAAATTGCTGTGTCCGCTGATTTTCATACATCACACTGGGAATCAGAATCTAGAAAAAAATGCCAATACGCGATTGGCTAAAAATTATTTTTAACCAATCACAGATTTGCATTTATTCTAGATTTCTGATTTCCGGTGTGATGCATGAAAATCAGTGGACACAGTAATTTGAAAAGCGCGATAAATTTAAAATAAGATATTTTTCATTTTAATCTGATAACTAGAGTAATTTCTAAAATCAATAGTTTTAACTTGTTTGTTATATTTTTTTAAATTAATAGGGAGTACGTTAGGTTTTTTATTGTTTTTAGAATCAATTTTTTTAAGATTAGTTGACAATTTATACTCAAAAAAACGCGTTACTAATGTTTATTTTTGTGACACATATAGGCAGTAAGTAGAGTTTTTTATACGTAACATGAACAACAATGTATATAGATTTTTTGTTACTTAAATTTCTCATTTATATGTTAATTAGATAGTAAGTATAAAGATTAATAAAGGAAGTGGCTGATAGAGACAAAGATCTATCGTTAAGAGTAACTTAATTTTTTGTTTATACTAATTATTAGCTCGTATGTATACATTTGTTATTTTGAAATTAATATATATGCGAATTTTATTAAAATTACTAATTTTGTGCATGTAAACTAAATTTATTTTTTAATTATCATTTACAAATGCCGTATTAATACTTTATTACAACTTTGTCATTGTTGAGTTAATAGAAAGTGAGTAAAAAGATCATTTTTAAGCATGTAAACTAAATTTATTTTTAATTAGCATTTACAAAAGATCATTTTTAAGCATGTAAACTAAATTTATTTTTAATTAGCATTTACAAATATCGAATAAATACTTTATTACCTCTATGCACAACTCTTTTAATGTTGAGTTAATAGAAAGTGAGTGAAAAGTTCATTTTTAAGCATGTAACCTAATTTTATTTTTAATTGCCATTTTACAAATATCGTATTAACACTTTACCCTATACACAACTCTGTCAATGATGAATTAATAGAGAGTGAGTGAAAAGCTCATTTTTAAAGTTAACAATTTACACAAATTTGGCATTAAATATATGGTATAAATAATTATAGACCGCGTAAAATTTACGGCAAGTGTTCAAATTCTGATCATAATGAATATAATACCTCGCCAGGTTGGTGCCAAAATTGTGATCCTAAAAATGAAACCAAAGGATGGACAAGTGACGATGATGATGTTGATGAATGTATTAAGAAACTTCAACTTAAAGCTACACAATATGAAGATGTTATTGAGTGGATACCATATAATAGGTTAAAAGTGTAAAAGAGATTGGCAGGGGTGGATTTGGAACAGTATATTCAGCAACCTGGTTGGATGGCAAGCGAATACTTTCAGGAGTTTACTATCATTATACGAGATCACGTGAAAAACAATTCGAAGTTGCGCTTAAGACTTTATCTGGGACACATTTTTTGGAAGAGGTAAATGATGACTAATTTGAATGTAAGTTAGTACTCCGCAAAATCAAATCAAAATTTGAATTTGAACCAAATATTTGAAATTACAGTAGATACTGTCTAATTGCATGCCATCCGTCAAAGACTTTTTATGCATATAGACAGTATATGCATTTAAGTCATAAGTACCATTTTGGTGTTAATAATTAAAAGCCAAAATTTTTTTATGCACTTAGAGAGTATATGCAATTAGGCAGTATCGATAATTTGATCAAATAATTTTAAATATTTGATTCAAATTCAAAATTTGATTTGATTTCATTTCAGTAAATTTCTAAATGTATTATATTACTTGTCAAGTTTAAAAATCACGTTCGATGCAGGCTAAAAGGCAGCAAACTCGAAATTTATGGATTGACTCGAAACGAAAAAAATGAAGAAAACCCATACTTAATGGTATTCCAATATGCAAATAAAAGAGACCTTCACAATTTTTTATCGTCAGATTTTAAAAACTTTATGTGGGAGACTAAATTACGACAACTTGTAGACATTTCACTTGATTTGGCACAAATTCATGAAGAAGGATATTCTCATAATGATATCCATAGCGGTAATATTTTGATAATGATAAATGAACTTAATTCTAAATATAGATCTTCTTATATCGCAGATCTAGGATTATCTAAAGAAAAAAATACAAAAACATCAGTAATTTATGGTGTCATGCCTTATATTGCACCAGAAGTATTATTAGGAAAACAGTATTCACCAGAAGCAGACATTTATAGCTTTGGTGTTATTATGGCAGAGATGACTAATGGACAACGGCCTTTTGATGATTATGAATATGATATAAATCTGGCAAAGAAGATTTGTGATGAGTTGAAACGACCAGAATTTGCCGATGGGACTCCAAATTGTTATATCGAATTGGCTAGGCAATGCATGAATTCAGATCCAAAGGAACGGCCTACTGCTAAAGACATTTTTATAAATCTTTTTTATTGGAATTACTTTGTGAATTCTAGATTATCGAACAAAAAGAAAGGATTTTACTTAAAAGAAAAATTTTTGGATGCGAATGAATCATTAAAATCATTAACAATTACACCGCAAAAACACAACAAAGATAATTATACTAGTAAACGTATTAATACAGATACAATAGTGAATTTTATTAATTCAGATAAAATTAAACGAAGTGACTTTGTGATGCAAAATCACTCTAAAGACGAATATTCTATCAAAAGTATTAATACAGATGAAATAGAAAATGCGCTTAATTCAGATGAAATAGAAAATGGCTTAATTCAGATAACATTAAACGAACTGATCTCGCGATACAAAATGCACCAGTAGAAGAAGTGGATAGTAATGGTTTACCTATAATTAGCGGGATTCCGGCAAATACTACGTGCTCTGTATCTGATACAGATGATTTATTTGCTATTAACTTCAACCCCAAACAAATAAATAGTTAAATTATAATTTGATAATTTATTATTAAATTTAAATAATAATCCAAAAATATGTTTATTCTATTCTTTGCAAAATTTCTATGCTTAAACGTAAGCACCTATCACTTATTATTTTTTAAAGCTTTTTGTTATGATATACATATTTGTTGGTTCTACCACAAAATCCCGACATCCAAAATCTCGAAACTATAATCCCGGCGTGACAATTAACATTTAAAGATTAGTAATCACATTAACAATCATTGTCAGACTTTAAATTTTAATT